GCCGCCGCCAAAGCCAAACGCGAGGCTCGCAAATCACAGCTGCGTCCACCCGCAACGCCAACGCTCAACCTGCCCACGCTGCCAGCGGACGTTCCGGGATCCAATCGGCCTTGTAGGACATCTTCGTACCAACTGCAGCACTCAAAATACACCAGGTGTTGTCTCCTCCTCCTCCTCCTCCTCCTCCTCCTCCTCCTCCGCCTCCTCCTCATAGGGACCTACGCAGAACACCGTTTCATCCTGACCAACACCTTCTTCCGCCTTCCAATGCGAGAGCAGGCCACTTGGATACACCCTATGTCGCGACATTGGCACCTGCTGGACTATGTCCTCGTCCGGAGGCGAGACCAGCGGGACGTGCTGGTGACAAATGGGATTCCAGGTGCCGACGGATGGGCCGACCATCGCCTCGTCCTCTCTAAAATGTGGAATCAACAGCCTGGCAGGAAACCTCAAGGTAAGCGATTCGCAGGTAGGCTGAATGTTGCCTTGTTGTCTTTGCACGCTAACCACCTCCATTTCAGCAATGAACTAGCTCAACGGCTAGACAACCTTCCAATCGCTGCCGCCGCCGACGACGCAGCCGCCGCTGCCGAGAACGCCTCCGTGGAAAACCGATGGTGTCAACTGCGAGACACGGTCCAGGCGACGGCGCTCGCCGTCCTCGGTCGCGCTCCCCGCCAACACCAGGCTGGTTCGAAGACAACGACGCCACCATCAGCAATCTGCTCGCCGAGAAGAACCGCCTACACAAAGCCTACGTAGACCACCCCACTGACGACAATAAAGCTGCTTTTTACCGCATTCGCCCAAACGCTGACCAAGCTTCCAGTTGCCATCGACGACGAGAACGCCTCCGCGGAGGACCGACGGTGTCAACTGCGGGACACAGTCCAGTCAACGGCGTTGGTCGTCCTCGGTCGCTTACTTCGCCAACATTAGAACTGGTACGACGACAACGATGCAGCCATCAGCAACGTGGTTGCCGAGAAGAACAGTCTGCACAGAGCCTACCTCGACTGCCCACACGACGCAAACACCTTACACAGCAACAGTTGCTAGAAAGGCAGGTCGCCTGGGTGGTTCACAGGGCCAACTAGATCCAGGGATATGCCGATCGCAAAGAATCAAAGAACTTCTTCGCTATAGTCAAGGCGATCTATGGCCGCCCAACGAGAGGAACGGCGCCGCTTCTCAGCTCTGAGGGGTAAACGCTTCTGACGGAGATGTCGCAGATTCTGAAGTGCTGGGCCGAGCACTTGCTGTCATGTACGAAGTAAATCGGATCGCCGCCGTCGCCGCCGCCGCCTTAGTGCTAACCATCCGCCGCTTCCAACATGCCTGCACTGCTAACGCGCATTCTGCGCACGAGCTGGTCCCATTGGACACCTTCGGACCCAATGTGTCATCAGCCCTACAACGTCTGTCTCTTCTCCCACTCTCGCTCCTGCCCCCCCCCCGCCCCCGACCGCCATCTGTCTCACCGCCCTGCCCCAATCCCTGTATCGACCGCAGCGGCAAGCATCGCCACCAAGTCTGCACGCACTCTTCCCACTGATGAGGGGACGTCCGAAGTTCAACCATCACCAGAAGCACTTCCGCCTCCAACGATGTGGACTCGGTTCACACCTGTCCACACCTGCGTTCGAACATTCCCCCACACACACACATCGGCATGGCCAGCCACTTGCGAATCCATCGCATAGAGACTGACGAACCAGTGCTTGGAGCACCAACCTACACTCACCGCACCCGCTCCAATTTCCCTCAATGCCCCGTACTCTGGCTTACCGCATCGACTGCTTAGGTCGCATGCGCACTCACAAAAACCCGTGGTAAACAACCATCGGATACACCACAACATCACACTTTCCTCCACATGCACCCGCACCCACTACAAACACCAAATTACCACCTCCCACGCAAGCGGGAAGTGTGCGTTCCGGCACTTTCTCCATGCGGCACCTTCTCCATGTGTGATTCGAGGCTGAGGCTATCACGGTGGGCCAAGCGCCGTGGCTTGGGAGGCTGCCAACTGACCTCTCATCTCAGTCAACGCAGTTGTGTGTAGGTTTGTGCCGAGTTGCAGACTGGTTGGCGTAGAGCCAGATGGACGTACTTCCAGCCGTGCGTTTCCACAACCACCGCCCATGAACTTTTGTTCGCCGACGTCTGCTCCCTCAACGCTACCTCGGAAGGGGACATGCATAGGAGCATGGATCTCTTCGCCGCCGCCGCCGCCGCCGCGAAGCTGAGGCGGCAGCACCAGATCCGCCTCCGACGTGTCCACGATGTTAATGGACATTCGGGCGCCAACTGGACTTGTTGGACACTTCCGGACCAACTGCGGCATCCGGATGACACCAACCGTCGCCTCTCCGTTCACCACTCCCTCGCCTCCCACGCCGTCAGTTAACGTTGACCGCCCTCCCGAACAACCACCACCACCACCACCACCACCACCACCACCACCACCACCACCACCA